CGGACCTGCAGATCATTTCACAATAGCCACTTCTCTTCTTCATTAGTTTTATTTTTCTCTTTTTTCTGGAAAATCATACCATCTGGCAGGACTCTCCACCGAAGGTCGAGCCCCTGGTACTTTTGTTTGAGCTATTTAAGCAAGAGATGATAAAAACACGCCTTTAGAAAAAATAAGCTTGTCATAATGTTGTTATGACATTTTAAAGATAAAAATGTACTTCCTGCAAAATTACATCGGACACAGCCTTGTCATTGAAGTCTGGATGGATCTGACTTTATTTTCACCCTCACAATCTTTACATGTTTTTTTAGGTCTAAGCAAACATCGGTAAATGTACTTCATTACATTCCACCACTGACTTTAAGTTTGCTTTCAATCACTTTGGCGTTTAGATATAGACAATGTACTTGATAGAATATAAGTAATGCTCACCCTTATAGCAGTAATGACATTTGCCATAGCCTCTGTCCCACCAATTCTTGGAAGAGGACCTTAACAATGTACAGGTTCCATCAGTATTTGCTGACCTGGCTCCCAGTGTCTTAAGGGACTTTTACTCTGATCCGACCATTGCCACTCATCTATAACCATAATATATTAGATACATTTCAGTCCGGCTTTAGAACTAACCACAGCACTGAAACAGCTCTAATGAAAGTAGTTAACAACCTAATGATATCACTGACTCCAACGATGTAGCTGTTCTCTTTTTGTTAGACCTGAGTGCAGTTTTTTGATTGATCACAACATTTTAATAAGTCGTCTGGAGAAGTGGGTGGGTCTCTCTGGGACAGTACTTGGCTGGTTTCGATCGTCTAAAAATTACAGAAAAATGTTTATAAAGTTGGGAGACTGTGTGTCAGATACAGTCCACATTCAGTATGGTGTTCCTCAAGGAAGCATCCTGGACCTATCCTGTTCTCTCTGTACATGCTCCCTATAGGCAACATTATTAATCAGAATGATGTCAAATATCACTGTTATGCTGATGATACGCAACTGTATGTCTCCATTTCGCCAGAAAACCCAAGTTCTTTTAATGCACTTTTAACCTGTCTCAATTATGTTAACATGTGGATGAGAAGTAACTTTTTAAAACAGAATGAGCAGAAAACAGAAATGTTAATTGTTGGTCCAAAATCAGAACGGCAGAAACCTGAGTGCGTGTTCCCCCCGTGAATCTTAGAACAGCAAACTCCCTTGAAATGTTTAAAAGCAAATTAAAAACCTATCTTTTTAATATGGCTTTTAATTTGGGTTAACTTTCAATTGTCACTAGTATCATTGTTAATATTTTACTGTCTCCCGTCTCCCCTGTGAATATACCAAAAATATATTTTAAGATGGAAAGGTTCCAAGAGAATAGGAAAAACACACACATGCTTAGTTTGTATTGGTTTTCAGGTTTTTGCATGCACCTTTCATAAAGACACAGTGTCCAATTATCTATATAAAAGCAGCTGAGGCTTACGTTTTTGATCAATCTCAATCAAAAAAGGGTTATACCTGATCAGAGGGTAATTTAGATGCACTAATAGACTATTAAAGGTAAAAATAAGGTTACATTGATTTGTTTATTGCACATGCTTAAAGGCCTCTCTTGATGCTCCTGAACTCAGACCCAGAGCAGAGGGATGCTGCTCTTTTATTTGTTATAATCACTGAAGTCAGGACTGTAAACGGTTCATATTGGAACTTGTAACCAATGCACGAAAAAAGTAGCTGAAGGACTCTTTAGTCAAATTTGAATAGCTTCTAAATATGTCGACAACTTGTTAACCTCTGTTTTTTTTTACTATATAGGGCTTGTTTACTTGTTGTCCATGGAAATTCAAGTCACCCAGGGCCTCCTCTCTCTATATAAATAAGAACAAATGAGAAGCCCCTCAGCTGCAGACACACATGTGTCTCTGCTGTACTAAGAACCCTACATGCACATGTTCTCTCTGCTCCGATGACTAACAGCAGCCATTGGTTGTCTCCTGTACTGCCCCTCACAAGCTTTGGCAATGTGTTGATGTTTCTTTTCAGCATTTCTCTGGCTACATCTATCATTGTCCTCAACGTGTCTGTGTCCCTCTCCATCCTGCTGAACAAGGCTCTGCGCAGCGAGAACCGCTTCATGTACATGCTGAGCACCTGCCTCAGTGACATCTGCTCCGGTGTGTCCTATTATTATGCCGGTGTTCTTGACGTGAGAGATAGCTACGACTCACCTACGAGAACTTTTTACATTGTACCCACATTCCTTGGGCTGTCTTACATGGCAATCCTGGCCGCGCAGGCCGACAGGTACCACGCGGTTGTATCACCTTTTAAATACTCCCAGCTCATGACCCGAAACCGGACCCTGCTGGTCATCTTCGCCTACTGGGTCTACGCTTTCCTCATCGTGGCTGCGCACAACTTGGTCACAGTTGGGGTGGCCAAAAGGATCACGAGCATGGGTACGTTTGTAGGAAACATATTCACGGTGATTATAATGATAGGGCTGAATGTTAGGCTGTTCATTATAGCTAGGTTCCAGCTAGGGAGGGAGCCGCCCTCTGAGGAGAGGGACAGCAAGCGCTCCTCCGTGTATCTCATACTGGTGGTGGCAGTGTTTTTCTTAGGGACGTGGCTTCCTATATTCAGTCACATTATTGTCTGTAACTTCTTTGGTTCCACCTGTTATAGCTTTAGAAATGAAGGCACTGACCCTCTGCGCATTTTGCCCAGAGTTAACGCTGTGCTGACCCCCATCCTGTACATCAGAGGCTGCTCTGCGCTCAGAGCCACGCTTCTCACCAGAGTGTGGAGACACTACTGCAGGAGTAAGAAGAGGGTGATGTTTGACGAGTCTGAATGTGTACGCAAAAGTTGCAATACATGATAGTTAAATCCTTAACATTTTATTGGGACACACTTGAGCCCAGAATGAATTAAATCGGCTGCTGTGATTTATATTTAGTCAATATTTATCATATTTGTTACGCCTTGTTGACATGCTAGCTCATTATGGATGGTCACAACTATGACTTGTTGCATATTTTAGTTTTTTGCATGTTTCCCCATGTTCATTTTTGTTGAATCTTGCTTGAATGTATTTCTCTTGTTGTCCTCACTTGGCTTTATGACACAAACAGTCCCTGCAGTTTGTTTCAGAATATGATTGATGTCAAACTTCACGTGGTTTTAAATCCATGCCAACCAAACGTAGGCCTATTAAAGACTACTCATGGGTTTTTATTATGAATGCAAGCTGTCAAACGTATAGTTAAAGGACATTTTCAGGCTTTGTGTTTCTTGGAAGATGTTTAAATTGTTTCATCATGAAGGCACAATGTGTAAAGTTTATAATTTCCTTTGTTGTCCTCAAATCGAATTGAACGTATTTTGATATCGTTGTTTCAAAGTTATAGTTTGAACGTCCCAGAACACGTTGCACAAAGACACGAAGGAGTTGCAAATAAACAGATTACCTATTGCCTGTTTGAATGGTGTGTCATAAGTTACGATATTTAAAAATTAAACGTTGTAAATATTTAAACGTTTACTTTGTAGGCTTTACTGTCCTATTTTTTATACTCATTAATTTCCTTCTTTGAAACAATAACATCTGAAAAATGCAGATAACGTGTGTCCACGCCTTTATAAATGATTCTTCTGATAAGAAGAATTCAAGCTGTCACCTTGAATTAATACGCTATTTTTTGCTGCAGTGAATGTTGATTGTTTGTCATTGAAAGGTAGCACACGGTGAAATAACAGTAAAGATATTGGTCGCATGTGTTCACTGAATTCATATAGAAGTTGCCATAGGCTAGATATTTGATTTATGGTATATCTTATTGAATTTGTTTCACATGTTTGCCTTACATCCAGTGCAATTATTTGTGAATGACACTCAATTATAGGCCAGGCTTATGCAAAACCACATGCAGGCCATCTGAGCACCTTTATCACACACCTCAGTGAAGGGCTCCCCGCAGAGGATGCACTTTCCGTGGCCACCACAGCGGGTCAGAAGAGCACTTTGGCACAGCGCCATAACTCCGATATCCATGGAATGTGAACCATAAACTTTAAGCATGGCAGATTAAAGTGCCACACTATATGGATCAATCTATGCCTCTTCAGTAGCGTGCACGCGATGGGCAAGAATATTAATTATTGTTGGCAGTCAGATGGCATCATCAAAGTAATCTCATTGATAAATGTCCAGTAACTGTATGTAGGTGAAACCTATCATGTATCCGGGTTTCTATTGGCTGAGGGCAGGTTGGGGTCCTCTGGGCTAAGAGGAGGAGCCAAGAGATCGTCACACTTCCGCACATCTGGTGGCCAATGTTTGAACCAGAACCATCTCTCTCTATTTTCTGCTGATACCCATAAATCATCTGACCATTAATCATCTCGAGCTCTGAACTCAAATCTAAAGTTTCCAGTTGCATTTGTTATCTTAAATGCACCTGATAATTCTAAGTTCAAAGTGAACAGGGTTCTTTGAGTTTTCTATGATTGCAATATAGGAATTAATAAAGTGCATATTGAAACTGCATTGTTTAATATTGAAGACTCGTGAGTTTGTATAGAAACATAATGCACACTGCAAAAAATACATTAGTAGCCTACACATAATCCGTATCCATGGAACCAGCTTCAGCTTGGTATATTAACCGGTTACAATCAGACAAGAAAACATATTGCTTACCATATAATGATCTGATCATCGTTGCCGCTGTATTTCAAGTCATGGCCTACTGACACCTTTATACTATTTTGTTGAAACTGCACTCGAAACCTGCAGGTTTCGCTAAGACCCTCCCATAAAACGATTGGGTTGTTTAATTATAATTTTTTTAATCAGAGAAGCAGACCTATACATTGCACAATATAAATGGTCAGACATTTTTTGCAGCGTAGAGCTGCAGTCAGCAGTATGGCTGAGTCGTGCTGCTGGGAGAAGAAGGCCTACATATAATATATCCCTCCCTCAGTCTTCATCTCCCTGCCATCTTGCAGGTAAAGTTGCCAGGGGTCCTGGGCTGAGAAAGTGGCCAAACCCTCCCACAGTGGGATGTTTCCTCTGCTGCACTCTGGGCTGGTTTCTATTCAAATGTGGGTCAGGGGTGAGGAAGCCTAACGTCATAAGCTTGCAACATGGCGTCCCGAAGGCTGTGAGATGAGCAAGAGGATGGTAAAGAACGCTTGAGAACGATCCTACCGATGTAATAAGGTATTTAAAAGACATTATTTATCTTTAATGTGGGAAGTAAATGCGCAACGGGGTTGATTTCGTGCTTGTTTTGATCGGATCGCCTTCTCCCAGCTGCTCCAAGGATCGCACGGGTTTTCGGCGTTACGGTGGTGTTTTTTCCACGGCGTGCCAACAAAAAGGGTCTCCGGTGGTGCCTATTATGGCTCTACCAGCCTCCTTGGCACGCCGACAAATCTAACACTATTTGTTTTAGTTTATCGCAGATTCATCTGGAAACCGCTAACATGCTTTGCAAATGTTGTGGCGTTTATTTTGACGTCGTGGGCATAAAAGAGATGCCCCACGGGACAAGTGAGGACCAAATATTCACCAGGATGGCAAAGCACATTAGCGACAGAAAGGGTCCACAAACGGCTCGCTGCAGCGCCTCACAAACCCCACTTTATCTCGTTTTCTCTGGTTTTCTAATCAAAATGTTAAATGAATTGTTTACCGAAATGCAGACAAATTAGCTGTAGCTCTAATTTCAAACGATATGTCTCGTGTAATCATAACATCGAGTTTTTTTTAATTGCAGTAACTTGCACTTATTGTGTAAAGTAACATGGATAACTTTGAGGATTTTACGCACTAAATGTTGCGCAATATTCATTACAATCATATGTTACAGCCGATACCTATAGTGTAGCTTGCATTGTTATGTAGATAGGCTTAGTTTTAGGTAGTCAATTAACAAATGATATAACATGATTGTCGAAAGTACAATTAGACTCGGTAGTTTTCTGATTTGAAACGTTTTCGGTTAAATGGTATCGATGCATTGAATTGTCTTATAGCCTATAGGTGGGATGCTGCTATACATCGACCATCTTTGTGATCTGCTACAGTGTGGGTGTAACATTACATTGTGACCCAAAACTGCCTTATAGAAACAGTGCTGCATGATATTGATTCCCGTGTTCATTAGTATTCTGATAAAACAGAAAACTCCTGTATGTTGAATACTTGATAATTAATATTGAACTCAAGACAACAACAAATCGTTCAATAGTTTATTAAACTATGTATTTGCTCAGGTGCAAAGGCAGCTTGGCTTCTCAGGTGATTAGTGTTGTTAAAGTACCAAGGGGCATGAAGATAATGAGGTACAGGAATGTCAGTAATGTCGGTTCCTTTGACTGGCTGCCGTTTTTCTATTGCCAAATTGAAATTCTGCTAGAACACTTCCACCTCAGGTCTCTTTTGCTTTGCATAGTTTCAACTAAGAACAATTACACTATGTACTTCTGATAAGACCGATGATTGTCTCAAATGTATTCTTGTATTGCTGTACATATGTCACTTATGTTCCTTGAGTAATACGTCTTGCCCTAGCTGAAGCAAGAGACCCCACTTAAATAAGTTGTTGTTTTTCAGTTTTTGTCATGCGTCATGCATGACAAAAACTGAAAAACAACAACTTATTTAAGTGTATTATTGTATTATTATAAAGGTGCATTTAGTATTGTTTGTAGCTTAATCAAACAAAGTGAACTGTAATATTCTTTGGATTAGATACATCCAGGGAAGTTTCTGTCATATACTTATGTTTTGAGTAAGCATTATCGAAGCATTTTTCAAAACAGAACATTTCACTGGTTTCTATAAAAGCTGAGGCATTTTTAGACTCTTGACTTGGGAAAGTTTTGTCACAATTTAAGAGCAATATTAAGATAAATCTTTGTATTTTTACAACCTGTTATCCTCAGGGTTACAAGGTGCTCTAATTTAAAATGTGACGATCATAGGACTGTATTTTGGCTGGTTACACCCTCCCACAAGTACAGTTGAAGTGAGCAGTTGCTCTGCTTGTTAATCTTAAAAGTTGTTTAGCAGTTAGCTCAAGTGTGTGTTTCAACAATACAGTTGAAAAGATTCTGAGCAGCATCAAAATACATATTACACCAAATGCACATAGTCCAATTTGTTGAGTCTTGTGAAGTTTGAATAGGGCTCTTGGCTGTGCAGTATTGTTTGTTTGATAATGACAATCTTGCATCTGTAACAGCTATCAGCTTTGAAGACTGACAGTGCTCAGTGCTGAATTAATTTGATACTACTTTAAACACAGTCTCTCTTATGAACATAAACACCCGTTCTTCATTTCAGAAAGGAACAATGTGTGTGAGTGATTATACTGTGTTGCATTTTTAAAGAGTGGACAATTATGTTACACTAAAACAAGTTGTATTTATGCTCTGTGGCAGATAAGTAGCAAGCTGATAGCTTAACTAAAACACTGAAATGAGAAGGATATTGTGACTAAAAAGTTTGAGAATTACTCTGTTGCCTGCTTTCCACCAAGCCTGCTGGAAGCATTTTGTATCTGTTGTCCAATATACATTACATGTTGCTACATGCATGGTCTAGTAATAACTGTCAAACACGTTTATTTAGTGGCATTAAAATGACCAAGTCAACTGATCAGTGTGACTAGTTTCATTGATTACTATGGACTACAAAGGGGGGCATGGGGGGGTGTAATTTGAGGCCTGTGTATGTGTGCCTCATGATCCTCATGATCAGCCCATTGGTCTTGCCTCACCCTACATGTCTCTTCACTGACAACACACGGTATCCTGTGTACATTTTGAATGTGGCTTACAGTGGCGTGTGTGGGCAGCACAGCGCAGTAAGGCTACTTAGGCTATATGTTCTGCTGACATGATTGCAGAGGACTTATAGATTGTGCTAGGCTGTTGTATCCAAACTGATCCGCCTGTTCTGTTCTGCGCTGTGCTGCTTGTTTGAGGGCAGTTTGGTTGATGCAGTGACTGAAGCACCTCGGGGCAGGGTTGTTGTTGTTCTTAAAGAAGAAGAAACAGTCTGTGGAATGTAGTGCTGATAGCCAGAAGGTTATGCAGTGTTTAAAGGCTGGAGGAGGAGGGGGAGGAGGGGGGGGGGGGGGGAGGTGGCAGCTCTGTAAAACCTTGGACCATACAGGATCTCTCCTTACCCAACATGCCCTCTGTCCTTAGTCAAAGCATTAGGCTCCAGGTCATGTGGGTCTGCTGCTTTTTACAGGGGAGGTTATCTCATCAACAAAGTTGATTATCTCAAGACAGAGGCCACTTCATCATACCAATCATACAGTATGTTCACTTGTTAGTGGAGCTGATGATTACTTCACTTGTGGCGAGGGTACGCAGTTGGATACAGAATGTGTGGGTGCCCATCGATCGGGAGTATTTGCTGGTAGGCTCATTGAAAGTCTCAGTATTTATTTCGGTCTTTATTTAATTACTCTAGAGGGCACTTTGATGCAGCATTGAGGACACTGAACATAGATACATAAACCCGTAGAGAGAGAGAGGGCATTACCCCTTTACTGTTTTTGAAAAACGCCCACTTAGTCAGACAATTCTATCGGTTATTATCTGAATCTGAATGTCAGTCGAACAAAATTATCCTTTTGTTGATAAATAATATACATTGTCGTCTTGTTATTATTTGGATATGAAATTGTATTAATACATGTTGTTAGATAAAATTACTGGAAGCTAAAGCTAAAAAGTTTAGTTAAGGCATTTGAAAGAATTTGGTATAGTCCAGTGACTCTAACCTGCTCCTGTCATGTTGTTGCTTTCTGGTTCTTGACAGTTCTAAGAAATGAATATCTATATACACGGCACAGTTTTGCTTAAGATATCATTCAAATGTATTACTTATATCAATGTCCTCCATAATAACCCATATTTCCAATAAAATATTGAAACACTCATCACACACATTTTTGCAGAAGTACTGAGAACCATAAAGGGAAATCTCCTAAGCCACCATAAATCAAACAAAACAGTTCCAGAGAATATACATTTTAGTAAAACATTGTGCTTTAGTGTACAGAACTTTTATCTTTTAGCTTTGTATTTTCAGCTTCATTCACATGACCCCTGACCCCTGCCTGCAAATACTCCCATACCTGGAGCCAGCCTTTAATCTAGCATTCTGCCCTGCTCCTACTTTTATTATATTCATTTAATTATGACATTAAATTGTCACATGCTGATGAATAACGTTTGGTTGTTTTTAAATGGGGGTTTTCCATATGGAGATTGTGCACGGTTAGGCAACTGCATCCAAACCTGACAAAAACAATAAATGTATGAGGTTGTACAACTACATGCTATTTTTGCACACTTGATAAAGTATATTGTTATGCCCTCTAGATTTGGCTGTAGCTTATTTGTCTAGCTATGGATGAAATGCACACCACAGAATACATAAATAAATGACCTGTTGTGGTGTAGGAAAAACATTTTGAGACTTAGTCGACTGCTTTATCCTTTGAGGGAAATCTTAAGACAAGTCTTTCTTCTTCGATGGTGTTAATGCCCTGCTGCAGGAAAAGTTGTCATTTACTACTAGGCATTTTCATTTTACAAAAGTGCATGAATTCAGTCATGAGTTTGATTACAGGTTGACTTGTATTCATGTAAGATGGTTCACATGTTTGTGTATGCATGTGTGTGGCATAGAGAGAGAATATGCTCTTCTTCTGCAGCACAACCCTAGTACATATGAGGTTCACAGCAACCTTTGGCCCCCTCCTGTGAAGAAGTGGATGGGGCTCCTTTCTTTCCAATGCACCCTGGGCAGGACTTATTTGTCTGTAACATGGCTGAACTGCCTGACAGACAAGGAGTCTTAATTGGAAGGTTTCTACCCAGACTGCGGAATAGATACTGTAATTCATGTGCCCCCCCCCCCTTAAGCTAAGCCTACTAGGCTCATTCACCTGTTCACTAGCATTTGTATCCAAAAAATGTATAGAAAGCCACTTCTCTAAGACAGTAGAAATTAGCATTAACTTCTTATCTTCATGTTTCTCAGCATTTGTATAGCAGGACGTCTCCCCTGCAGCTTTTTTGAAGAGATTATAACCAGAAATGGATCAGTGTTCAAAATTCCAGCAGATGCTCTGCAACAGTTCTATTCAACCACATGCCATGGAGACACAATAAAAAGCAGGTTTTATTCCA